AATTCTTTTCAGTAATTACTCAGTATTGGACAACATTTCTAATAATGATTTTCAATGTGACGATTAATCATGTAGCACTTAATTTTTGATTCAATTACATTCAATAATTGTTTTACAAACATTTGTAGCAATTGGCTTTAAACAAAAGGCATATATATTATTTTGCTAAACATCATAGATTCTGCAAATCGTTCATGAAACTGCAAAATGTTGTAACCAATAAGAACTAAATTTTAGAAGAGAATTTTAAAAAATGGGTAAGCTTTTAGAATTTCAAGTTAGATTTTGGAATTTATTTTGCTAGTTTTATAATTTATCATTCAAATGAATAGAATTTGATATTTTTTAAATTGTTTTAAAATTATTTGGCATACAAGGATTTGCCTTAACATAAAGCCTTATTCTTTTTGCTTTGAACTGAGAAAAAGATATTAGTGAACCATATAGAAAACACATATAGAAATAAAACTGTATAACTGCTTATGGACTGACACAAGTGGTTTCTATTTTTCTGGAAAGTTTCATGTTACAAATTGCATGACCTTGTTTAGCTGAAACTAATCGTACTCCTTTTGATTTTTCTGAAGGTGAGTCTGAATTAGTATCAGGGTTTAATGTTGAATATAGAAGAAGTGGTTTTGCATTAATTTATATGGCAGAGTGTTCAAGAATTTTATTTATGAGAATTACACTGTTTTGATTTTTTGGGGGGTGATGTATTTTCTTGATTAATTTATTTTATATTGGCCGGTTGTTTCGGTAATTTTTATTTGAGTCCGGGGGACTTTGCCACGTTTTCATTATGATAAGTTAATGTATTTGACTTAAACGTCCTATTGCCTATTTCTTTAAGTTTTTTTCTTTTTTTTACTGTGTTTCATTTTGAGTAAATAGTGTGGTTTATTGAGACATTCTAGGAAGTTAAGTTAACAGAATAATAAATCTATCTTTTGTTTTTAAAAAAAATGTTTTAAGCTTATTAACTTAATTTATTGTTGATCTCATAATTTAAATATTATGGGATTGATGAGGAAGAATATAAAGTATATGATGGTTTAAATTTGTCCTGGTAAAATAAATGGATCTTCAACTGGTTAAGCACCAATTCAAGTTAATAAAATAACAATGCATGTCAAAAATTCAGAATAATATTTGGTTAATTGGGTAGAATTGCATTCTTTGGAATTTATTATTGGATGGCAAAGGTAAAATAAAGAAAATAGCAATGAATGCAATTAGGGCTATTACTCCTCCTAATTTATTGGGGATTAATCGTAAAATTGTCAGGGTCTCCTAATGGATATGGATTTACGAGAGATAAAACAGTTAATAATAGTAATATGATAAAAAATTCTATAATATCTTTGAAAGTGAAGTACAGATGAAATGGAATTTTACCTAAATTACTATTGATTCCTACAGGATTATTTGAACCTGTTAGATGAAGAAAAAGTAAGTGAATTATTACGAATGCTGACACAATAAATGGAATGTAAAGAATAGGGTTAATGTGGCGTTATCAACTGCGAATCCACCTCAATCTCATTGAACTAAATCAGTTAATAAATATGGAATTGCTGATGAGAGATTGGTAATAACAGTGGCTCCTCAGAATGATATTTGTCCTCACGGTAATACATATCCTATAACGGCAGCGGCTATTTCTAGAAATAGAATAAGAGTTCCTACTATCATCGTGTGTATTAAATTATAAGATCCATAATATATTCCACAACCTACATGAACATTAAGACAGATGAAGAACGATGCTTCATTAACATGAATTGTTCATAGAATTCAACCAAAATTTATATCTCGGCAGATACGACTGATTCTTTTAAATGCTATGTTATAATATTGGCAATATAAAGTATTGCTAGGATTATACCAGTTATAATTTGAATAATCAATCATAATCTTAATAGGGAGCCAAAGTGTCATTATAAGTGTCAGTGTTAATATATTAGATGGAGGTGGTAAGTCAATTAGTGTAGTCAGTAAGTCAGTTAATAATTTTAAATAATGGTTGATTTTTTCATAAAGGTTTATTCATTAGTTATTAATTTGAATGTCATAAGGATCCTTCTTGATGGGAGGTAATTTTCACAATAATAATTAATGTAATTAAGAGATAAATAATTGTAATAATTGATAGAAAGAGATTTGGATAGTTGTAAGTTATTATTTTCTATTGTGATATTACAAATTTTATTTATAAAAGAATTATTTTCATATAGATGGAATGATAATTTATGATTACATAATACAGTTATGATTAAAATTATGATAGTGGATATTATAAGACTAGTTAATATGGTTTTAATGGGTATTTGGAATATTTCATTAGTTGCTAGTCTTGTAATATAAATTTATAATACTAATATTCCTCCTAGGAAGATTATGAACAGGATATAGTAAAATCAGAATGAATAGGAGATTGATCCTGTAATAAGACAGATTATTTAAGTTTGTATTATAATAAGTAAGGAAATAGCTATTATTATTATTGAGTTTTTATGAGACAAATGAAACTACATATTGAAGGATTTTGGGGTGACGAAATTAATAATTTATATATGTTTAAGTAAAATTATTGCATTTTTGGTAAATATGCCAATCTTTATGGTCCATTTATGATTACATAAGGCTCATGTTGAGGCCCCTATTTCTGGTTCCATAGTGTTGTCAGGCTTGTTTTAAAGTTGGGTGGTTATGGATTGATGCACGTTTTTAGAATTATAGTATGTTGTTGTCTAAAATATAATTTTGTTTGGATTAGTATTAGTTTAGTTAACGGCTTTTAAATAGGATTAGTGTGTTTACGTCAAGTTGATTTAAAATCATTAATTGTTCGTCTGTTGTTCATAAGGGTGTGATTTTGGGTGGTTTAATGACTTTAAATTCTTCAGGTTTTTGTCATTGTTGTTTGATAATAATTGGGCATGGATTATGTTCTTCTGGTTTATTTTGTTTATCTAAAATTGTTTATAAGTAATCAGGTAGTCATAGATTAATTATTAATAGGGGGTTAATATGTTTCATACCTAGTATGACATTATGATGGTATTTATTAAGATCATCTAATATGGCAGCTCCTCCTTTATTAAATCTATTAGCGGGAATTAGATTAATTAATAGAATTATATCATGGAATTGATTAAGAATATTTTTGATTGTTTAATATCTTTTTTTGGAGCTGCGTACAGATTATATTTATTTTCTTATAGTCAACATAGAATGGGTTTTTATAGTTCGTTTGGTTATGTTAATGGATATTCTTGTGAATATATATTATTATTTCTACATTGATTTCCCTTAAATGTTATAATTTTGTGTGGGGATTTTTTGTTGTAGTTACCTTTATTAGTTTCATAAGAATATTGATTTGTGGAATCAAAGGTATATAACAAGTGATATATTCGGCTATTAATTATAATAATTTTATTAGCAAGTTATCATTTGTTATTTTATGTTTTATATCAATTATTATGTTTTTTCTGGATTGGTTGTATGTGTAAATGAGTATGTAATTTTTTTGGATTGAAATATTGTGTCTATTAATTCTTGTAATATTGTTATAAGAATTCCCTTGGATTATAAATCGTTACTATTTGTAAGATTTGTTATATATATTTCTTCTTAAGTAATTTAGTATAGAGGTAGTTACATAATAGGTGATTATAATTTATCTTGATTTATTATTTTAGTATTAATATTTGAGTTATCTATGATGTATATGATTATTAGTCCTAATACAATTAGAATTTTATTAGGATGAGATGGCTTGGGGTTAGTATCTTATTGTTTAGTAATTTATTATCAAAATTTTAAATCTTATAATGCTGGTATGATTACAGTTTTATCAAATCGTATTGTTAATGTGGCTCTGTTATTATCAATTGCTTGAATAATAAGATATGGTAGATGCAATTATTTATATTTTAATAATCTTGGGAACTTGGATGTTGAAATATAATATTTGATTTTCATAATTATTTTAGCTGCTACAACTAAGAGAGGTCAAATTCCTTTTTCTTCTTGACTTCCCGAAGCTATAGCTGCTCCTACCCCTGTATCTGCTTTGGTTCATTCATCAACTTTGGTTACAGCAGGACTCGTTTTGGATTAGTTATCGAGATGTATTCAATGAGGGAATTTATAATATTTATTGGTTTGTTAACTACATTAAGTCTGGTTTGGATGCTAACTTTGAGTTTGATTTGAAGAAGATTATTGCTTTATCACCTTCAAGTCAATTGGGTCTTATAATAAGAACTACTGGATTAGGTTATGATGATTTACCTTTTTTCATTTATTAACTCATGCATTTTTTAAGGCTTTATTATTTATATGTGCAGGTATTATTGTTCATGGTATGAATGATCTGCACGATATTCCTGGAATAGGCGAAATTGTAAATCAATTACCTTTGACTTCTCTTTGTCTTTTGATTTCAAATTTGGCTTTAGTTGGTATGCCTTTTTTGTCTAGTTTTTATCCAAAGAACTTAATTTTGGAGTTGAGATTAATAATTAATTTAAATTTATTAATTTTTGTGTTGTCGTTTCTTTCTATTTGTTGTTGTAACTGTTTGTTACATTTTTTGTTTAACATTGTTTGTTACATGTTATGTTATGGCAGGTGAATTTAATTTTAAGAGATTACGTTGATTGGGTGATGAAAGTTATGGATTTATTGGTCCTATATTTATATTAATATTTTTATCAGTAATTGGTGGTTCATTATTGTCTGAGTGATTTTGATGCTCCTAGTTGGATATGTTTACCTTTATATATGAGAGTTTTGGCTTTAGTGGTTAGTTTAATTGGTGGCTGAAAGGATTTTGAATTACCAATGTTGATAAATTATGGTAGATTAAGTTTAATAAATTATTATTTTGTAAGATTTTTAGTATCAATATGGTTTATACCTTATATGTCTACTTTTATAATTAGATTTTATCCTTTATAAGGAGGTTTAAATATTGCCTGTGTCAAGGCTGAAGAGAGGTACCTGAAGGTCAAGGATTGTTTATATTTTTTATATACGATGAGAGTAATTAAAGAAGAGTATCAGTTTAATTATTTTAAGTATTATTTATTAAGATTTATGTTTGAATATTTATATTTTAATTTGTGGCCCATTTATATTAACTTAAATAGCTTATGTATACAGAGTATGACATTGAAGATGTAAGGGAGATAGTTAATCTATAGGTTGTTATGTAATTAATTGAAAACAAAGAAGAGGCATATAATTGTTAATAGTATCATTGAATTAATTTTCTAATTAAGGAAATAAAATGTACAAAAGTGAGCTGCTAATTTTTATGTTTAGCGGTTAAATTCTATTGTAATTTCTGGTTCATATAGTTGATAAAACAATTTATTTCAATTATACAGAAAATGTTTAATATTTATAAATAATTAAGGATTATACAATCTTTCTTTCATGTCGAAACTGAATGCATAAATTTGCTTTATAATTTAATTTAATTGAATAATCTGTACTTTTTTAATGCAACCCAAATGTTATATTTAATTATAATCCCTATTCAGCTCATTGTAAAGCTCCTTGGTTTCATTTGTGATATAGGCCTAGAAGAAAAATGATAATAAAGAATATTAATGTAAGAACGTAGGCTTCCGCGGCCGGAGTGAGTATTAATTAGGCTGTCCGGGTGACGCCGCGTCCATGGCGAAGGTGCCGACGTTTCGGTCGCCCTGAGGAAGGTCGCAGAATGGCGACCGAAACGTCGGCACCTTCGCCATGGACGCGCTGTCACCCGGACAGCCTAATAAATAATATTAATGTAAATAATCATTGTAATGGGTTTGATGAGAATTGTATAATTACAGCAGGTTAATTTAAGTGATTTCTACATCAAAAGTTACGAAAATTACTGCAATTAGGGAGAATCGTAAAGAGAATGGTAAGCAGACAAATCTTTTTGGATCAAATCCACATACAAATGGTGAAGTCTTTTCTTGATCTAATATGGTTTTTGATAGAATAATTGATTATAGTATTAAAATTAAAGTGAATATGATGATAATAGAAGTATTATTTTTATAATCAATCCTTTTAATTGGAAGTAAAATATACTAAATAAGTTAACTACCTCATCAATAGATTGATATATATAAGAATTGTTATACAATATCTACAAAGTGTCAATATCACGCTGCTGCTTCAAATCCGAAGTGGTGGTTGGATGAAAAATGAAATAATATATGTCGTATTAAGCATTCTGATTGAAATATTGTACCAATAATGACATGAAGTCCATGAAATCCAGCAGACATGAAGAATGATGATCCATTAACAGAATCTGCAATGGGAAACGGCCGTATATATAGCAAGTCCATGCAAGCATATGCTTGAAAAATAGTAAAGTAAATTCCTAAAATAATTGTTAATAATAATTTGTGTGGTTTGTCTATAATTATTTTCTATTAAGCTGTGATGGGCTAATGAAACTGTAATGCCTGATGCGAGTAGGATAGCTGTATTTAGAAGAGGGATTTGTATTGGACTAAATGGTTTAATTCCTGTAGGTGGTCAAGTTATTCCTAAATCAATATTGGAAGCTAAACATCTGTGGAAAAATGCTCAGAGAAATGAAATAAAGAAAAGTACATCTGATACAATGAATAGAACTATTCTTTAACGTAATCCTAAATTAACAACGGATGTATGTATGCCTTGTTATGTTCCTTCTTGTGTAATATCTCGTCACCATTGAATCATAGTTAATAGAGTACTTAGGGTTCCAATTGAAATAATAATAAATCAATATTGATGAAATATACTAACTAATCCTGCTGCTACTGTTATAGCTCCAATGGCCCCTGTAATGTGTCATGGTCTAGCATTAACTAAGTAAGATGGGTGATTTTGATATGTTAACATTAATTTACTTCCCTTGAATATAATGTAGTAAGTACAGCAAATACAAAAGATTAAATAACTGAAACTGCTAATTCAAGAATTAATAGTAGAATTTGAGATAAAATGAGGATTTCAATTAAGATAGCTGAATTTATAATTATGGATCCTGTATTATCTAATAGGGTTAATAAAGGTGACCTGCAAACATATTTGCAGCTAATCGAACAGCTAAGGTTAATAAACGGATTACATTTCTAATTGTTTCAATACATAGTATAAAGGATATTAGAATAGGAGGAGACCCTTGGGGAACTAAATGAGCTAATATATATTGTGTATTATTAATTCATCCATATAACATAAATGTTAATCAACATGGTAATGCTAAGGATAATGTAAATGTTAATTGGCTTGATCTTGTGAAGATATATGGTAATAATCCTACGAAATTATTAAAAAAAATTATTAAAAATAAGAAAATGATAAGGAAAGATCTTTCTATATTTATAATTTCGATTGCTAATGTTTTAATTTCAGAATATAATTTATTAATTAATAAGTTTCATATTAATAATATTCGATTAGGAATTAATCAATTACAAGATGTAATAATAATTAATCCTAAGAGTTCTTAATCAATTTATATGAGTATTTATAATATTTGAGGTTGAATCCAATGATGAAAAAATATTGATCATCATTTTCAGTTATCTGATTGGGTTTCCAATTTTAATTATTTAACAGATAAGGTTGGTTGAATTAGGAAATAATTTATTGTTCTAATGATGTTTAAAACAATAAAAAAGAAAATTATTAAAGATAACCATATTATTGGGGCTATTTGGGGAAACTTTAGTAATTATTTTAATATGACATTAATTTTATATTTAACTACTTTCTTTCATCAGAAGTAGTCGTTAATTACTACAATATGATTTAAGAGATTATTACTTACTTTCAGTCATCTGATGAATAATTTTTGATTCAATTAATGAAGTTTTTAAAATTAACTCTTTCAATTAAAATTGGTATAAATCTGTGGTTGGCACTACGAATTTCAGAATATTGACCATAATATAATCCAGGTCGATTAATTATGAAGTTAATTTAATTTAATTGACCTAAAGTTGCATCATTTTTTACACAACAGGCGGAAACTCTTCAAGAATGCATAACAACAGCGGCTTTGACTAATGTTCAGATATGGGTATTTATTGGTAAAAAGCTTGGGTTATTAACATCTAATAGATGAAATGATCTAATATTATCAAAGGCAGATATGCAGGAATCAAATTCGATGACGTTTTTAAAATCTATATATTCATATGATCAATATCATAGAAGTTCAATCTTTTTTCTTTTTTTGTAATGTATGTATTTATGGATTCATCTAATAAATGTAATAATCGTAATGATGGCAATGCAATAAAAATTAGTGTAATTAGTTAGAATAGTTCAGTCAATGGTTTGTCCTAGGAGAAATCGATTAGTATAAGGGTTGAAAAATAATATTGTTATGATGTGTGAAACAAGAATTGTAATTATTAATAAAATTATTAGTGTATGGTCAAGGAAGAATATAAGTTGTCCTGTTAGGGCGCATAAACTAGTTTGTAAATTTAAATTAGATCATGTAGTGATATACTAAAAAAAGGATTTCTTTATTAATGAAGCTTAAATTCATCGCACTTTACTGCCATATTAGTAATTAGATAGAACAGCGAGTTTTGAATAAGAATGTTGTGCGGGAGACAGATTTTGAGAACATACGTTTTCGATAAGAGATTATTCTTTCTCATAATATAAAAATTAGTATAATAATAGCAATTAATGAAATAGTTGAGCCTAGTAAAGATAAAATATTTCATGAGGTATAAGCATCTGGATAATCAGAATATCGTCGAGGTATTCCTGCTAATCTAAGAAAATATTGCGGAAAGAATGTTAAATTAACTCCAATAAATATTACTGTGAATTGTAGCTTTAATTATTTCGGAATTATTGTTAATTCTGTAAATAAAAGATATCAGTGAATATATCCTTCTTAGTAGCAAATACCGCTCCAATTGATAAAACGAAATGGAAACGAGCTACTACATAAGGATCATGTAGAATAATATCAAATGATGATTTTTCTAAGACAATATCTGATAATCCTGCAATGGTACGAAGGTTGCCTTTTATGTTTCGGGAATTGGTAACCCTGGTGTTGCAATCTGGCAACTGACAGCTCTATCGTAAAGTTGGATGTTTTGAGGTTATACGTACTCAGAACGTTTTGACATACGAGCCTGGTGTTTTGTGTTGTTTACAGTAACTTAAAAGATTCATCTTGGCTCAAAAATGGAATTAAATCGTGAACATTTTCCTGCGATTATATTTACAACTTTCGACGTGGTTAACTCAGCAACAGTGCATGGATGAACTTAATTCAATTTTTGGCGATGAAGCTCCATCAAGGACCAGTGTTTATCGATGGTATGGTGAATTCAATCGTGGTCGCAGTTCACTCCAAGACGAATTTCGCGAAGGTCGTCCAAATTCAGTCGTTGTTCCAAAACCATTGATGCAGTGCGTGAACTGATATTGCAAGATCGTCATGTGACGCTATCGTGAGATTGAGACAACCTTAGGCATTAGTGGGACCAGCATACATTCAATATTGCATGAACATTTGAATGTCAAAAACTTTTTTTCGCGTTTGATCCCATACAACTTGTCAATCGCTCAAAAAAATGCTTGTGTCGATTGGTCGAAAGAAATGCTCAAAAAAATATGATCGCCGTGCTTCGAAACACGTTTATGACATAGTGACAGGTGATGAATCATGGATTTACGCGTATGAGCCCGAAAGTAAACAGCTGTCGACTGTGTGGGTGTTTCAAAATGAGCAAAATCCAACAAAAGTTGTTCGCGCACGAAGCACTTCCAAACAGAGGGTCGGCCTTTTTTTTTTCGAAAAAAACTGGATATGTCGCAACCGGTACCACTAGAACAACGCAGAGCAGTCAATTCTGAATGGTACACAACGATGTTTGGCCAGCTGTCTTCCAAAAATCAGGAAAACCAACCGCCGAAGACGATCACTCTTCACCACGAACAATGCGAGCTCTCACACATGGGCTCAAACAACTGCATTTTTGAGCCACCCAAAACATCGATTTGATGTGTCATCCGCCGTATAGTCCTGACTAGGCAACGAATGACTTCTTTTTATTCCCGTACGTAAAAAACAAAACTGAGTGGTCAACGTTTTTCGACACCTGAAAAAGCGATTGTGTTTCAGAATGCATGTTTTGGAGATACCTCAATCAGAGTGGCAAAAGTGCTTCGACGATTGGTTCAAACATATGCAAAAGTGTATAGTTCTTCATGGGGGATATTTTTAAAAACAAAGTGATTTTCGACGAATATTTGTTTTTGTTCTCTAATCCTGAAATATAAAAGGCAACCCTCGTAAATAGTAATAGGAAACCTAATGATCATAATAGTGATGAAATGTAAGATAATTGAGATCCATGAAGAGAAGTCATCTAAAAATGTTGATTCCTGTTGGTACTGCAATAATTATAGTTACTGAAGTAAAGTATGCTCGAGTATCAACATCTATAACTACAGTGAATATATGATGTGAGCAAACAACAAATCCTAATAAACCAATGGCTAATATTGCATAAATTATTCCTGTAGTACCAAATGCTTCCATTCTTCCTCTTTCTGACTAATAATATGGGAAATCATACAAAATCCTTAATTTAAAATTATAAACTTATGGATTGCCAAAGAATCAAAGTAAATGTTGATATAAAATAGGGTCTCCTCCTCCTGCGGGATCCAAAAATGATGTATTTAAATTTCGGTCTGTTAATAATATAGTAATAGCATCAGCTAAAACTGGTAATCATAGTAATAAAAGTGCTGTAATTCAACTGCTCATATAATGGTGTTTGGTCTAAGGATGTTCCAGGTGCTCGTATATTAATTATAGTAGAAATGAAATTTACAGCTGCTAGGATTGACGAAATTCCCGCTAAATGTAATGAGAAAATAGCTAAATCAACTGATGCTCCTGCATGGGAAATTCATAGAGATGGATAAACTGTTCATCCTGTTCTTGCACCATTTTCTACTATTCTGCTGGTTAATAATGGTGGTAAAGGTCAAAATCTTATGTTATTTCATCGAGGGAATGCTATATCAGGGGCTCCTGATATTATTGGTTCTAATAAATTTCCAAATCCACCAATTGTAGGTATAACTATGAAAAAAATTATGATAACATTATAAGTTTGGTCATCTTCAATTAAATAACCTGGTTGTCCTAGTTCCGTTCGAATTAGAATACTAAATGATGTACCAACTATTCCAGCTCAGGCTCCAAAAATGAAATATAAATTTCCAATGCCTTTATGTTAAGTGGAAAATAATCATCGTTGCGATAAAGTGGCTGAATATTAGGCGATAGATTGCAAATCTTTTTATGAATAAAATGTCCTTTATCATTGGCTTTATATTCAATAATGATTTTAGACTGCAATTCTAAAGGTGTAATATTAACTATGACCTAAAATATGAATTTTCATTTTCAGCTTTGAAGGCTAATAGTTTAGTTAATTTAAGACCTTAAATTAACCTTTAAATTCCGAAAAATATGATTAGATATAAAGGTAATCTAAATAATGAGGAATAATAATTAATTATCTTAATAATTGTTAATAAGGAAATTAATCTAAGGTTATAAATTTTTTGATTTGATTGTTGATGATTTCACTTTAATTGATTTACGTTAATTAGAAAAGATGATATTTTTAATCATACATAATAAAATTAAGTAAATAATGTACATATGATTATAATTAATACTATACATTTTATTTCATTGTAGCATGAATTTTGAATAATTAACCATTTGGGTAGGAATCCTAATAAAGGAGGTAAGCCTCCTAGTGATATTAAATTAATTGATTAAAACATTTAATTATTAATCAATTTCACATTAAAGGAATTTGGTTGTGATGATATATTAAAAAAATAGGAGGATGCTTACTGGTAGAATGGAATAAATAACGAAATAGAATGTTCATAAGTCTTCTGATATTATATGTCCTAGTAATATCCAACCAATATGATTGTTGGATGAATAGGTCATAATTTATCGTGTTGATGTTTGATTTAAGCCTCCAATAGAACCAATAATAAAAGATGATATTATTACAAACATTATGATGGGTTGATAATATGATATGTAGGAATAATTATAAATTGAGCTAATTTTTGTCATGTCATTAGATTGAAACAATTAAATCATGATAACCCTTCTATTACAGAAGGAAATTATACATGGAAAGGTGTTGCGCCTATTTTGAATTAATAATATCATCATTTAAAATGAATAAAATAATATTCAATCCAACAAAAGTTAATAATATTGATGAAGGCTTCATTAATAAAATATTTTATAGCTGCTTCTGTTGATATTATATTGTCCTTGGAGAATATTAATGGAATGAAAACTAGGAGATTATTTTCTAAACCCATTCATGTGACTGATCATGAATTAGACCTAATTGCAATTATTGTGCCTAGAATTAATATTATCAAAAATAACCATTCTGAAGGATTAAATGTTGAAATTAAAAAGAAAAGGATTACCTTTATAAATGGGGTATGAACACATTAGCTTAATTAGCTTACCTTTTCAGTGAAGTTTGGTGTATGATGCAGAAAAATTTTGAATTTTTAAGTAATAGTTTAAGTCTATTAAATTCATTGAAAGTAATTAAATTTACATGATTTATCCTATCAAGATAAACCTATTTCAGGCATTTCAATAATTTAATTTAATTAAAGTTTTATAAAGTTCGGTTCAATTAATTTGGATTAAATATAATTTATTTTCTAGAATAGTTACAGAAAAAAGTAGGGGGCGGGGAAATTTCTCTCATTACCCTTCCCGTGGATCCGCGCCTAACATTAACATACAGTAATTATTAAATTAGCTTATAATTACCCTTAGAATTCAAGAAAATAAGATGTAATAGCTTTCTATAAACATTACATTTATTATTTTTAATGTATTAACTATTAATAACATGCTTAGGCCTTATAGCATTTCTTACTTTTTAAATGGACGACGAGGATTTGGCCCATCGTTGGCCCAACCCCCTACTAGGAGGATCAGGACTTTTTTTTGGGTAGGGGGGGGGGTTACTCCCCTGGGAGGATAGCTACACCGAGCTTTTGAGCTTCTCCTGCCCAGATATCTTTCGGAATCTCCTCCTTCCGTTGGCCATATCCTTCATCCCTCGGTAGAAATTCTGCCTAAATCTTAGTCGTTTCGACATCCTCTACAGCGCAGTGTACCGGATGTCCCGATTTTGCGCCCTGTCCTCTTCTGGAATACTTCGTCTTACCCCTCCCATTGCAATCAGTCTGAGAAGGGAAGCCCTACCAGTAGCTACCGCCGGCGTAGTTCTCAGGATCATGGGGATACTCACTCTCTACCACCAAGGACAGGTCATGTACTCCCTAGATGGAGCCCATCATTAACACGGTTCACATTAGTCTGATTTATTTCTTTTAACACAACTTCTTAATTTTTCTCCATGACAATTGACTGCTTTCTGATAAGAAGACATGCAAAATGTAAGTGCTAATTTAATTTACTCAAGAACAAATTCCATTTCTCATTGATATCATTATCTTTACAGTAACTTGGCAAAAATATCTTAATGAAAATAATATCTCTTCAATAGCCCCGTAGCTTAGACGAGAGGAGCACGCGTTCGACACAGCGTTGCAGACTGACCAGCGGAAGGGGGAGGAAGCCTCACGTCAGCGAGAAGGTAGGGGAGGAAGCGGTGACCAGAGGGCAGCTGCTGCAGTCGTTTTGGATTCAGGCAGAGAAAATGGAACACGTACTTTTTGCTTGTGTCGAGTGATTCGCCAGTTAGAAGCATACATTTCGCAGTTTTATCACTAAAACCAGTGGTGCTATAGAATGACACAGACCTTCCCGTATTAGTTTTCTATTTCCTTTGGTCTCAGCTAGCTATTCGAAATTGACAAATACTCCTGCCTGCTGCCATATATTGCCGCCCGAGGTACATTTTAAAAATAACTTTCTTGCTTTTTCGGTTTCCTAATAGAACGGGAATATTATTTTATGAATTTTAAAACGCAGTAAAACTTTATCCTAAATAGCAATTTGCTTTGAAAAAGTTGAAGCGTTTTTGCAGAAATTGCGCTTTTCAAATTGAAGCCATTTGAATCACATTAACTCACAAATACAAAAATTGCTGGAAATGTGCATATTAATTGCGTGGGAAACTCAAAAAAATTACAGGCGAAAGAAAAATCAAAAAGAATGCGATATGGCGTTTGTCAATTTATAGAGTGCATTTGGCACAAAATCTACCAAAGTTTAAAGAAAAAACTGTAGCAGTTTAAGAAAATCTTACTTTTGTAATTTTTTAAAATTGCTCGCAATATTGCGCGAAAACTAACAAATTTTTTCTAAAAAATGTACTTAATGAAAGAACAAATTATGGACAACAAATTTCATTTTAAGGAAAATTTGTATCTTTAATTTTGTAGTTGACGGAGGATCCTGAAAAATTCAATCTCAAAATTTTTGAAAATTCAGAGTTAACAGCGAAAATAGGATTTGACTAAAAGAATAACTCGATTCATAAAATAATCACTCGGAAAAATCTGAAATTGTAAATGCACTTTATGAAGTGCAATAAGACAACTTCCTTTCAGATTAGTGTGAATAAACAAAAACAAAACATAACTCTCACTATGAATGGTAGCACACCAAACAGCGTGGAAATCCCCGGAGACACCTAGCGGTGGCGAACTCGATTAGCAGCATATGCAAAACAAAGGAAGACCCCTTCATTTCCGTTCAAACTGAGCGAGTGTTAAGTTCCTATAAAGTCCTAAAACACGACCGAATATATATATTCCTAATTCGTTGTTCACGGACAGTAATTAGCACAACTCAACTTCAGCAGTATTGCGGGTTCAATGAGATCCTTCGAAGGTGCTTCGTACATACCCCCTCCCAATTGTCTCAGTGAAATTGAGTCTCCTCCTTCAGTCTCGACGGAGACGGTTTAAGTTCCTAAGCCTGCGGTTCTCTTGCACCGCACGAGTGACAAAGTGGTAGGGGAGTAGAGGCTCGAGTGTTGGGGCTAATGGAGGTTCCACTGTTGGGGCGAGTGGATGGGGAAGTTGAGGGGAGAGTGGAGGGGCAAGTGATGGGGCGAGTAGAGGGGTGGAGGGGAGAGTAGAGGGGCGTGTGGTGGAGCGAGAGAAGAGGCGAATGGATGGACGAGTTGAGGGACGAGTGGTGGGGCGAGTGGAAGATTACAAATTCAAATGGAAGGAATTTTACAGGGCAAAATAAAATAGAAACCATTTTAAGGGTATTTTTCAACATTTATTAGACATAATTCAATATTATTTAGTTACAAAAAATTCCCGTATTACAATTCATACGTATTACTGGTATTACAATTGATACGTATTACGCTGATACTCGAGCTGTCACAATCGACTTCGAGGTGGTGTAGATTACTGACCACAATGGGGTATTGCTAAAACTTAAAGGGCCGGGCTCGGAGGGCAGTAAAACTCCAAATTATAAATCTACATTCTTCGCCCAATGGGCGGTTTAGGATTACAATTTTAAAGAAATAATTACTTTAGTTTGGGGAGTGGCGGTACGTCTGTGGCTGAACATAGAATTTTATACAAAACTGGATTACAGAAAATAGTTCCAAATCGCACTCATCACCTCAGCGCTGCTTGAACATAGCTGTGTGCTGGCCAGAATGGCTCAAATGCAAGACTACAAAGGAAAAACTATTTTAAAGGTTTCACATGTTAAAGGTTTCACACAGTCGCCCAAGGGCCAAAGTCGCGTGCTCAGCACATGAGGGTCAGAGTCGTGGTCTTGCATTCGAAGGGCAACAAGCACTTTCACCGACTAAACACTGTCACTCATTAAGATACTCCATGGATAAGTCTCAGCAGAATCGGTCGAAATCATGCTGCTTATCTACACCGATGGACAATTTTAGTAACAATACAGGCTTTTCAAAGGTTTCAGAAAGACCATTCATCACTCCACACAACGAAAGCTTTACTAAACAGCGATCATGCTCATCTGATCACAAGTTTGCATCTGTACTAAAGTCCTTGTCACTTCAGAGGTTTCTCACCAGTACGGGGTGCGCAAGTGGCAAGTTTTGTGTTCCACTCAGCTTTTGTTCAAAAAAATAAAAAAAACTGAAAAGGTTTTTCACCAGTGTACATGGGCACGTACTTATTTAACTTCTCTTTCTAACTGCATGTATTTCACAGACAACACTAGAAAGTTTTTCATCAGCGTGAAATCCAAGTTTCCAAAACGCATGTGCGCAACCAAGTTTTCTTTTACTCTGAAGCTCATTTTAGGTGCAACACCGGAATCGTTTTTCACCAGTGCGTGCAAATGTGCTTATCTAAGTTTGGAGTTTGACAAAAAGTACTTTCACAGACAACACCAGTGTGGGTGCACATGTGCCCAAGCAATTCTCTTTTGTTCTGAAGCGTCTTTCACAGATAGAACACTAAAGATTTTTCACGTGTGTGCGCATGTGCCTAGGCAATGCCCACTTTCTTCTGAAGCTCATTTCACAGATAGAACACTGGAAAGGTTTCTCGCCAGTGTGCGTGAGCATGTGCCTATCCATATTTCCTTTTTGAGTGAATGTCTTCTCACAGAGAGAACATTGAAAAGGTTTCTCACCAGTGTGCGTGCGCATGTGCGTAAGTAAGTCTCGTTTTCTTTTGACGCTCTTTTTACAGATAGAACACTGGAAAGGTTTCTCATCAGTGTGAGTGAGCATGTGGTTAGTTAAGTGTGGTTTTCGAGTGAAGGTCTTCTCACAGAGAGAACATTGAAAAGGTTTCTCACCAGTGTGGGTTGGCATGTGTCTAAGCAATATTATTTTTGTTCTGAAGCTCCTTTCACAGACAGAACACTGGAAAGGTTTCTCGTCAGAATGCGTGCGCATGTGCGCATGTAAGCTTTCTTTTACACCGAAGTTCTTTTCACAGATAGAACACTGGAAAGGTTTCTCACCCGTGTGCATGTGCATGTGCTTACGAAAGCTTTTTTTTATACTGTATCTCTTTCCACAGATAGTACACACGAAAGGCGTCTCACCATTGTGTTTGCGCATGTGCGTAACTAAGCTTTCCTTTCGCCTAAAGTCCTTTCTACATAGAGAACACTGGAAAGGTTTCTCACCAGTGTGTGTGTACATGTGCTTACTTAAGATCACTCTTACAGAAAAACTTTTACCACATATAGAACACTGGAAAGGTTTTTCCCCAGTGTGCGTGCGCATATGATTATCTAATGGTCCTTTCATTCTGAAGCTCTTTTCACAGACAGAACACTGGAAAGGTTTCTCACCAGTGTGCGTGCGCATGTGCGAAAGTAAGTCAGCTTTTCTTTTAAAGCTCTTTTTACAGTTAGAACATTGGAAAGGTTTATCAGAAGTGTGAGTGAGCATGTGCTGACTTACGTGTGCTTTTGTTCTGAATCTCTTTCCACAGACTGAACACTGGAAAGGCCTCTCGCCAGTGTGCTTGCGCATGTGTTGATCTAAGAGATCTTTTCGACTGAATACTTTTTCACAGAGAGAACACTGAAGAGACTTCTCACTGTCGGGGCGCTTATGAATAGTTACGTTTCTTTTCTCACTTTTATTTTCGCAGAGAGAAAAGCAGAAAGGATTTTCACAACTGTGAATACTCATGTCAGTAGGAAATTCGCCATCTGTCAACAAAGAACACTTGCATTAGCATTACGGCAAAGAACAAAGCTCTCCATTTGCTAGGTAAAATGAAGTGTTGACTCATTGAGAAATAGCTTAGTAATAAAAAACTATCAATTGTCTTTTGTAGTAACTCATTTCAAGTGAATTGTACGGTACAAAATGGCAAAGTATACTGGTTAGGGTCTATTTAATGATTACGCATTTATCATTTAAATTTATAACAACACGTGTTTGTATCAACACAAATATATAGTGACAAGTTCTAAGCATCGTCGCCCAAAGAGATTTTCCTTCAGGACAGTGAATTCCCGTAGCGACCATATTCGCCAAAAGCAAATTGCTCTACTAAACATTGTTAAGAAGTACGACGAAGTGCTGAATTTCATTTCGTACTAACTGAGAACGGCTTGCCCTATGATACAATTATAGTAACAGTGTTTGGTGTATACATAGTAGGTGGAATTGCGTTGTCCAAGCCCAATTGCGTTGCTTAGAAGTATATAAACAGGGGAACAGCTTATTTTTTAAGTTTTCTCAATTTTCAAATATTCTCACTTTCTGTAATATAAATTTTTTAAATTTAGCGTTAAATTCTCTACATTCTCTATATTTTTATAACTTTAGCACAAAATAACATTTTTTAAATTTTACGTGTTTTGTGGCGTTGCGGTATATTGAGATGCCTAAATACCGTTAGTTCGACCGCGAGTCAGTTCGACCGCGAGTCAGTTCGACCGCGAGTCAGTTCGACCGCGAGGAACCGCGAGTCAGCTCTGCAAACGCGCGAGTCAGTTCCGATCGCGAGTCCAGTTCGACGCGAGCTCCGAGTTCGATCGCGAGTCAGGTTCGAATCGGAGTCAGTTCGATCGCGAGTCAGTTCGATCGCGAGTCAGTTCGATCGCGAGTCAGTTCGATCGCGAGTCAGTTCGATAACGTAATAGTTCGATAAACTATAGTTGATAACATAATAGTTCGATTAACGTAAATGTTTTCGATAACGATAATAGTTCGATCAACGTAATTAGTTTCGATAACGATAATAGTTCAACGTATAGATACTAGTTTCGATAACATATAGTCGATAAATAAGTTCGATACATATTAGTTCGATAACATATTAGTTCGATAACATATTAGTTCGATAACATATTAGTTCGATAACATATTAGTTCGAAACATATTAGTTCGATAAACATATTAGTTTCGATAACATATAGTTCGATAACATATTAATTCGATAAATATTAGTTCGATAAGATAACATATTAGTTCGATAAACATATTAGTTCGATAACATATTAGTTTCGATAACATATGTTCGATAACATATTAGTTGATAACAATTAGTTCGTAACATATTAGTTCGATAACATATTGTTTCGATAACATATTAGTTCGATAACTATTAGTTCGATAACATATTAGTTCGATAACATATTAGTTCGATAAATATTTAGTTCGATAACATATAGTTTTCGATAATATTAGTTCGATAACAATTAGTTCGATAACATATTAGTTCGATAATATATTTCGATAACATATTAGTTCGATAACATATTAGTTCGATAAATATTAGTTCGATAACATATTAGTGAAATATTAGTTCGATAATATATTAGTTCGATAATATATTAGTTCGAATAATATTTAGTTCGATAATATATTAGTTCGATATAACATAAATATTTTAGTTCGATTAATATTTTGAATTCGATAATAATATTAGTTCGATATATATTAGTTCGATAATATGACATAATATAAGTTCGATAATAATACTTTAGTTCGATAATATATAGTTTCGATAAACTATGTTAGTTCGATAATATATAGTTCGATAATATATTAGTTCGATTAAAATATTAGTTCGATAAATATATTAGTTCGATAATACTTAGTTTCGATAATATTTGTTCGACTTAATATATTAGTTCGTAATATACTTTAGTTCGATAATATATTAGTTCGATAACTATGACTTAGTTCGATTAATATATTGTTCGATATTTTCAAAATTTAGTTCGATAATAAGTATTAGTTCGATAATATATTTGTTTCGATAATATAATTTGTTCGATAAAGTAAAATATTAGTTCGATAATATATTAGTTCAATAATATTTTACCTTTTCAATCCTGTGAAGAGGTTAATTCATAACTAATGTTTAAACCACACTATCTCAAGACATTTTTAATTCAACATGAGAGAAGAATGCAGGTGTGAATTTTACATGAAATGAGAGTACACCTGTGCGTATTACGTAAGAAATAAGAGTGTGCATACTGCGCCCGAAATAAAGAATAAGAGAAATACAGAATTAGAGAAAATTTCAGCATTATATAAAGACGCTACAATTCATGTATCCCCGTAATGTATTTAGCATCAATAGCATCATGGGTACGTTATTTTATATTTTTTGTAGCTTTCATTGCTTGAAATATTCAAGTTATTCATGTCATAAAACAATGTGTACATTGATACCAACATCCCCTTTTCACCATTTGTATTAAAAAATGTTATTGTATATTAACATTTTCTTGGATTAAACTATCTTGAAAGTCGTATGTTAAACACATTTTACCATACATTGTAACTAATCGTATTATTAGAAATAGTATTATGAAATGCAATATACAGTTTTATAGATTTTTTTGTGCAGCAACTAAAATTTTTCTAATGTATGTATTTATCAAATAATTGGGATTTCTGAATAAAATGAAGTGGAGATTTTGATTTTTCTAAATTTTATTTCTCGTAATACTTTTAAATTCTGTAAATGAACTATATGTCTTTTAAAAGTAATTGGTGGCGTTATATACTAAGATTCTGGTGAAAATTCTTCAATTCCCTGTATTACCACCATCAGTTAAAGTTCCAGTTAGAGTTAACCGGACGTTAGCGGTCAAATTCGTATTACGAGCGTCGGTTAAAGACAAACCGGAGGTTGAAATAAGGGTTACTGAGTTAACTGCTGGTTAGGTGTAATGGCGAATGTAATAAATGTAAAACCTGATTCTCAAGAAGAAATGCTGTTGGAATATATCCTTATTACCAGACGGCTCAAACGTTTGCGGCCCAGACGGGATAACTTTGGAGAGTGGGACTGCGACGAATTTTTCGCACGTTTAAGGATTACGAAACAAATTGCTTTATTCGTATTGCAACAGATTGAAGATGAACTGGAATACGTTACAGACAGGTATGAGGATGTATATAATAAATCATT